CAATAACCTCATATGCATGAAAAAGTTGGTCAGTGAATAAGGAACACTGTAGAAGAATTGTTGTAGTTGAGTTATAGTTTTAGAGGCGAATATTGAAAGTACCACAGAATGCCAAAAGAACAAATAGATCTGTTTTGGAAGAAGTACAGCCAGAGTGCTCATTGGAAGCCAGGATGACTAGACTTTGTCACAGATACTCCACACATATTGTCAACAGGGAGAAATCACTGGAGAAGGATATCAAGTTTGGTAACATGGAGGTTCAAAGAAAAAGAGGAAGACCCCCAGTGAGATGATTGACACAATGGCAGCATCAATGGGCTCAAAAGGAGTGACGGTTGTCAGGTAGGCCCAGGACCAGACAGTATTTGGTTCTGTTGTGCGTAAGGTTGCTATGAGTTGGAACTGACTCAGTGGCACCTACATCAACAACAACGTGGTGGAGTTTTTATTGTTAAGTGCTGTGGAGATGGTTCTGACTCATAGCAGCCCTGTATAGGGTTTCTGAAACGATAAGTTATTGCCAGAAAGGAAAGCCTCCCCTTCTTCTACAGAGTATCTGGTAAACCTAAATTGCTGAGCTTCTGTTTTGCATTTGAGTGCTTATTTTTCAGAGACACCATACTCCATCCTATGATGGTATCCTATTTTAAATACAAAAGTAATTTATTGTTTTTAATTTAATATTTTACACTTCTATCATCTTCTTTATTTACTCTTCGTATTTAACTACTTGGACATTAAGTTAATGAGTAATTAAGTATTTCTCTAGAAATATCTCTCTAACATTCTAGTAAGAAATGTAGAGTAACACAAAAGACAAACCATAATGTTTCTAATTATGTCACTTCTAAGGAAGTAGGTAGTAGTAACTTGTTACAAGCCTAATATGAATCCATTAATCCTTCAAATTTAATCCTTGGAAATGTGCCAAGCATTGTCCATTGGAAATAGGTCCTCCAGGATGACCAAATGTTTCATTATCAGAAATTCCCTGTATCTGAGGGCTACTGGGATTATTAAGGTGAGAGACATGTGATGCTCTGCTCTGCTTCTGTTCATAATCATGAGTATTTTGTAGAATTAAAATTTCTACACCAATATTGAGTTTGAATAAGAACTGAAGAAAGTTTGGAGATTGATTCATCTCAGGAAATGAAAATGCCTGCACAAAAATGTAACAGCAATACATCAGAAAGGAAATTACTATTTTATCACAGAAATGTCCATCCTTCAAATGTTTTATCTATTTTATATGGAAGAAAATTTGAGGTTGAATCAAATCTAGACAAGTAATATAGAAATGAAATAATTTTAACCAACTCTGGCTAATGGTAAGTATTAGTCATGAAATTAGAATACTTTAAGTGACCAATGACTCTGATCATTAGTTAATTTCAGTAGTTAAGTGCTTAGCTGTTAATGAAAAGGTTAGCCATTGACATTCACCAGGTGTTGCACTTGAAAAGATGTGCTTCCACAAAGATGACAGACTGGGAAACCCTGCAAAGCAGTTCTACTCTATCCTACAAGATAGATATGAGTCAGAGCGAACTTGATAGCAACAGTCAATGGAGTTTCATTTGGTATAAGTTTAGTAAGATTAAATTAGTTCAATATACATGTACATGTACTGGTTTATCTACATTTAATTTTCTCTCTCTCTCCATATATATGCCAGTATTTTTTAAGGAAATATAAAGAGGTGATGGGCTCACTAGTACAGAAGTAGTGTTTGTGTTTTGAAAATACAATTTTCTGAAGAAATTTGCCAAAGTTAAGATAACAAAATATTTTCTTCAAATAGTCTGTAGTTTAAAATTTAATATATCATAGTAAAGCAGGTGAAATTTCTAATTTTTAGTAATATAAAATAATATTGGAAACAAAGAGATAGTTAATGATGCATTAAACTATGTTTCAATAATTGTTTACAACACATTTAAATTTTTTCTCAGGCTGCTGAATTTAATTAAAATTAAAAATATGTGGTAGGATCATGGGAGAATTATTGAGCCAACATTCACTAGCTCTGCCTATGGATAAATTTCTAAAGCTACTGTGATCCCAATTTGTTGTGTAAAACCTATTGTACAATATTTAATGGGTATCAAAGAAATTAACAAAAGGAACCATTGACAATACTGGAAATTAAAAATTAATTGCAGTTTACTTTCTGCTTATAAAATGCAATGTCATCATGTACCCGTATTTACATATGGCACAAAGTTAAGATTTTATTCAGTTATCTTTTATAAACCATCCTTATCATAAATTTCTAGAAAAACAAAATTATGTTTTTTAAATGCTACTTTATTTATATTAACAAAAAAAGTTTATGTAGTTACTGATGCTAAGTATGAACTTTAATATCTTACAGTTTAGAGAAATTGCACACAATGGGTAGACGGAATCTCAGTAGCACATCGAATTTCATCCTAATGGGATTGACAGACTCTGATGAGATTCGGCTAGTCCTCTTTAATCTATTTCTCCTGATATACCTGGTTACTGTGCTGGGGAATGCAGGGATGATACTGATCATTCGCCTGGATCTGCAGCTGCACACTCCCATGTATTTTTTCCTCAGCCACCTGTCATTTATTGATCTTAGTTACTCAACAGTCATTACGCCTAAAACCTTAGCGACCTTACTAACTTTTAATAAGTATATTTCATTTAGTGGCTGTTTCACTCAGATGTATTTTTTTGTCTTCCTGGCTGCTACTGAATGTTTGATTCTCTCTTCAATGGCTTATGATCGCTATGTAGCTATCTGCAACCCACTACAATACCCAGTTGTTATGTCCACTACACTGTGCCGCTCCTTCATCACGGCATCCTATGCAATTGGCTGTAGTGAATCACTTGTCAATGTACTTTGCATGAACACCTTGCATTTCTGCAATTCCAATGTAATCAATCATTTTTTCTGTGACACAACACCAATTTTATCTCTGTCATGCACTGACACACGTGATATTGAGACCGTGATATTCATCGGTGCTGGTTCTACACTAGTGGCATCTCTCATCACAGTCTTTGTATCCTATGCAGCCATTCTCTCTACTATCTTGAAAATTAACTCCACATCAGGAAAACAAAAAGCCTTCTCTACCTGTGCCTCCCACCTCCTGGGAGTCACCATCTTCTATGGTACCATGATTTTTACTTATTTAAAGCCACGTAGGTCCTACTCCTTGGGAAAGGACCAAGTGGCTTCTGTTTTTTATACTATTGTGATCCCCATGCTGAATCCACTCATTTATAGTCTCAGGAATAAAGAAGTGAAAAATGCCCTCATTAAAGTTATGAATAAGAGAGTGAGCTCCAGGCACTTAAAATAACAGTGATGCTAGATTAAATGCTAAGTATTTGATCTCATAGTTTCTTTGTATCCTACTAGTGATTGTTTTGTCTTTCTCTTCAGAAACAGTTTAATGTTTCAGTAGTCTCTGTTTCTATTTAGCCATTCTTTATTTGACTATATATAATCTTTCTAACAATTTTTTTTTAGAAGTTCATCCTATATTTTGAAACCTTAAAATATGTGTTATGTTTATTTCTATATCTAAGGTTCAAGGGATATTGATGTCAAAAGAAAAGAAAAGTTACAGTATCATTTTTTAAACTATATCATAGGAACCCCACGCATGTTCAAATTAAGACAGTATAGTTATGATTAATAACTACATCTGACACAATAACACTTTCTTAAATTTTACTGATAAGAAAGGGGGTATAGCCCTGTGCTTAAATTTTAGAATTTGAAATTCCAAGATTTGGATTCTACCTCTGTTATGCATACAGATGCATGACCATGAATAAGTTACTATCACCCTCAGCTTCAGTTTTCTTAACTGAAAAGTAAATAGAATTCTGGGTCCATAGAATTAGAATACAATTGAAATCATAATAAAAGTAAAGTATTTAAATGTTATACAAGGGCTTCCAAATATTAAACGAAAAATGGAATTAAAAGAAAGTGAAATTTAGTGCAAACTCTTTGAAGCTCTCTCAAACTAAAAAGTGGTTCGAGTATCAATAGAATAAGCCAAGTTATGCAATTTTTAAGGAACTATGGTGTTACCGTGCTAACGTGTACATCAAATAACCAAAACATTGCAGTGTTTATCCACAAATTAGAAGAAAGAAGTGGGAGACTGCTTTGTTAAAGATTTATAACCCTGGATAACAAATGCCGCTGCTTTACTCACTCAGCACACGCACGCAAAAAATGGTTTATGTTAACATTGAAGGAGGCTTGAAAAATATTAAAGAAAATAGAAATGTCTTAAAAATTCTCAAGATTTTTGCTCTTATTTTCCTAACCTTATATATTGCATACATCAATATTTTATAATGTTTTCCATTTTCATTTATCACTTTAATATTTTTTGATCCATTTGACATTTAAATCTTTAATATGAATATGATTTTTGCACATGGTTGGAATCAAGACTTTCATTATGCAACACCTTTGGCTCTGGAATGTTGGGAATTCATCAGACCGAAAATATGTTTATGTCTGTATTTTGGATATGTTGTTAAGAAAGATCAGTCCCTGGAGAAAGACCCTCAGTATGATCGATTGACATCAAAACAAAAGCAAGGGTGTCAAACATAACAGAATTGTGATGGCTGCACAGAACTAGATAGTGTTTTTTGTGTTTTTTTTTCTTGTACACAGGATCACTTTGAGTTGGAACCTAATCGATGGCACCATTGTATCTAGAACTTCCAATGTGATCTCTCTGAAAGCAATTGGTAGTGGTAGCTGGGCATCATCTAGTTCTTATAGTTTAAGGATTATTCAGCAGCAATATAATACTGATATTAAATTGCAAAACATTTGAAAATC